AATGAATGTATAAGTAAAAATTAAATGATGGACAATATCATATTCTCTTATAAAGTTCTGTTAATTTAGATTATTGTATTTTTTCAGAATATTTCATTATGGAAAAAGAATATGAAGATTCTTCAGGCAAAACAATTTTACGTATGTACTAATTAACATATAATTAAGTAAATTCTGCAAAACAAGCATTTTAAATATAAAACACATTTTTTAAAGATTTTAATGCATTTAATAACCTAATTGTTAGTAAAATGAATAATTAATGTAAACTAACATTTGCTTTCAAGACATATTTCCTATACGTAGTGAATACGATCATATCGTTAAGGAACATTGCATATTCCATACGGCTCGAGTAAAGAAACGTACCCGCAATATTAAATTAGGCCTGCGGAAAATTGTAAAATCAGTAAATGGGATTTCACGGAAGTATCCTACTTCAACACGCGGTAAACAAAGTTTACAAGAAAAATATCTTAATTATGTGCACAAGTAGAACAGTGGGCATACAATTCTAATCGCTTTAAAAGATACTAACCTAAGTAGGTTAAAGAATATGATCACCATAATTGTAATAAAATACGTCATTTTCAGAACATACTGATTTCGATAGATGTCCATATAAAATGACTTGTCCAAATTGCTTAAGTTACATACAAACCGATGTTCGCTATTACAGTACTGGCGTAACACATGCGACATCCGCAAGCTTATTACCCATTTGGTTAGTGTAAATTGCAAACGTAGTCTTCTTCATTCGATAAGATTTAGCGTATTATGCTCAAAAGAATTTTGTCAAATTGTTTATCAATAATATTGTATATAAAGTTCTATAATGATAATAAATTTATACTGTAATGAATTCACTGAAACTGGTTCACGAAGCATGTGCATGATACCCTACTGTACGAGGAAGTATAAAAATGCAGCTCACTATTGCCCCAGATGCAATATTTATCTGGGAATGAAATTTGGATCCGGAAGGAAGTTAGTTCGTTGTTGCATAGAACCAGCCCACAATGACAGCAACGTTTCCTAACAAAATGCAATTTTCGTTCCGCACGTGAATTATTAATTACTTTTTCTGTTTGTGAAATATAAATGTAAAAAGTATTACCACGAGAAATATTAAACAGCAATTTATCGTAACAGAAACGTTTTTAATAAATTAATTATACTAATAATAACAGTCGGAATAAAAATAACGTAATAGTAGTACTGATGATTAATATAATATGTCAATAGTTGTCTCTAATATCGTATTGATACGGAAGACTACACCTAAATACAAAAAATCTATTTCTTCAATCATAAAATATATGAATCTAGATCGAACTATTCAATGGTGTTCTCATTCAATACTATTTCTCTGCATTATTCATTTGAATACGGCTATCATCATTATTGTGTAATTATTCTTATCTGTGCTGTGAGGAAGTCTGAAGACATCCGATTTCGAACATTTCATTCATCATATGTGCTCAATCATTTCTAAATTACAGACATTAATGTGTATATTTCTCTCAGGAATATCTATGGAGTATTCATATTAATCCTCTTACGTCAAATTACGAAATATATATGAATTGCATTACACGTACAGTACATCATCGATGAGTGCTCGAAGGGTTCTCGGGGACTGACAAGGAGAGGTCCCCAGGTGTAACGTTGACATGTTAATGAGATTTAGCACAGTGATAAAGCTTAGAGTTCTGAATCAAATGATATTTGCTTCAATCGCATATGGCCATTAGTTTATAAAATATTTAATGTTCAATGCAGAGGACCCTTCGAACACTGCTCGGTGATTTACTGTATACAACCAGTTGCCCGTGCCGTATATGATTGTGGATCAGAGAAATAAAAAGGAAGCATGGAAACTCACCAGAGGATAGAAAGGCTCTGTATAATACTTGAAGAATCTGAAAAAAAAAGTAACAAAATGCTTTACAATCTCTTGTCAAAGTTCAACATTTTTCGACTCAATGAGGTAAGTAATATAATATAAAGAAACTTACAGATTTTGCTGGTCGAGCTTTGCCCAAGGACATTTTCTTCAGTGATGCACTGACTCTACCACCATAAACGAGCACATTTAGATACGAAGATAAATAAAAATAGAAGACTGTTAATCGCGATCGAAGATTCCAGTCAGCGAACAGGTGACTCTACTTTCGCGAATGAAAAATCAAAGAGGATCCCGACACGCTACACAAGTAATCAATATATACCACCAAACAGTGCCCAAACAGTCACCGACACTCTAGACATAATCAAAACACACTAAAGTACTCTCACAGAAGTAAGTAATAGTATGTAATTCACACTGACTCTATTTTCAAGCAATTATATGAAATCAATAATAGAAAAGTCACAAATAAACAATTATTGAACTTGAAGATTATCGCCAAAAATTATAAATGTAATCAGAACTGCGCAAAAACTGATTCGTTTACGTATACGTACGGAGTGAAAAAACAGTTAATTTGACATCTATGGTATACATTTAATTCAAGATTACTTAATCTAACTTGGATAAATACGAAAGCAGAGTACCTAACACTAAAGAACTATTGAAAGTATTAATAATTGGTATAAATAGTTTGTGGTAGCACGTAAGAATTCCACACTTTAAGCGAACGAGCTACTTACTACTACGCAATATCATTTCACTATCTTCGAGACGAATGACATTTCGACTATTTTCGATAAATCACGATCGATCGATAGGTAAGGCTAGGTCTCCTTCAACCTCCAATTTTTATTGCAACGAAATAGAACATTTAATACTGTACTATATTTCAGTATGACATGTACCCGAAATTAACTTAAGAGTCAATGACCCGCATCAAAAGGAAAAACAGAAGCACAAAGACGATTTCGAAGAAGTCTTTTGGTTATAAACAGTTTCAAAACGATATTTTGTGCATCTGATTAGCTAATATTTCAAAACTCACATTCCAACTACTCTACAATTAATGACGGAATTCAACTACGTACATACCATGTTGTATTGTCGAAAATTTTTTGTTACAATTCGTTTTAAGTGGAAAACAGTACACTACGATGACTCACTGTATTGTTGCTGCACTTTTCTCGAAGTTTTTAAACCAGCGTGCTTCCGTGAACGCCATCTACATTACATACTTCCCGCCAATTTTATGACGCCAAAGTTTACGGAATTTATCTGACAGATGTTACCCATTAACTAATATATAAAAGATTTTGTTCATTGAGGAAATAAAGAAAACTTAGACTTGGCAATACTGTAAAAATTTGGCTAGCTAAGCTGGAGTTGGGTCAAATGTAACTTTCGAATGACTATCTTGACTGCAGCGAAATACAGATGGTGGTGGCATCTTGTGGCAAGAAGTTCTTACTAACTAGTAACTAGCTTAGTCATTTTGTCGTAGATGGCTCCACTATTCTCATTTTCGCGTTCAATTTGATATTAAATATTTTCATTCCTGCGAGATACCTGTTACCTCATAATTTCCATTTTTCTTAACTTAATTTACAAAACTGTTGGAACTTTTCATCAACAAATTACATCCAATGTATTTGGAATTTCTATGTTTATAAAAGAACTTACTGAAACTTAATGACAGAGAGTCTAAGAAGACGTGTTCCTTTTAAAGATTTAGCTCTCCAGTATAAATCCCTAAGACCGTTATTTATTATTCATTTCACAAAATAATTGCAAATATGAAACTTCTTTACGTCTTCTTGAACATTCTAATTTCATAGTTCTAAACTGGGTACCTGAAACTATTTCATTGAATTTGTGTAAAAGATTTTACTACTTCCTAAAAGATTCCGTGTGATATTTGATAGCATAAAAAACAATGTGCCGATACAGGGTTTCGATTTATTTACGAAACTAATCTGACCAGTTGCTGCATTCTTTGACACTAATATTCAAGAAAATAAAACTTCTGTATTTCTCACTTAATTTGAGAAACACGTAGCTGAATATTAACCTACGTTCATTATTTAATTACTCGCAATAAATAAAATTTTTGTAAGTAAATAACGCGTAAGTAAATTCATAATTGTCATACGTATTAAAATTCTTACAATAGGCAGTAAAACTATTCACACTCCCATATAAATTATAAATATGTAATTGTTAATGAATGCGGTGTATATATTTTCCCACATGTATATTTAATAAACTATTTATGAAACTACATCTATTCTGAATTTATCTGCTACAAATATATAAATGTAAGGCAAGATATAAAAACAAATAAAACAAGAACATGTAAAATGTAACATTAATAAAATGTCCATTAACGATGCATTTAGGATAAATTGTCTTGGAGTTAAGTGAAAAAATATGTACGTTTCCGCTTCATGTTTCTTCACTATCATATTTATCCTTTAACCTTAAACTGAATCATCGGATATTTTTATTCCCGTCAAATCATATAGATACACGCAATATGAATGAAATATATATCGGTAACGTCGGGTATTGACACTAAAATGGTAAGGGGGCTTCTGACGCCCTCGAATCATGGGACAGAAAATTACATTGCATGTTAGGTCTATTCTTGTATCTCGTCTGTGCCCGAACTTGTCCAGAATCCCTCGATAAAGCAGATCATGGAGTCCCTTAGACATCATCTGGGATGCGCGTCTGTGTTCCTCCCCCACGAGGAACCCATCCCAGTCAACCCCTAAACTCTGAACCCCAAAAGGCACCCTAGTCGCACGTATCAAAGTGTAAATTGTCCCTCTATCAAGTGAAACGTGAATTTTTCACGGAAAGTGACGAATACGGGAACAGAATAAGAGAAGAGACATCAAGTTCATAGTAAAACTTCGAAGAAGGTTATTAATTAATTCCAAGAGAATGGAGCAGGGTGTGTGCCGGCGGATCGGGCGGCAAGAAAGGAAATGCACTTATTGGCCAGCGTCTGCGTACTCATATTGATCTGCGGCGGTGGCCGTGGAGTAAGGGTGTCTGCGGGTGGGACACCTGAAACCTGCCCAAAATGCATTTTTGTTTGCGGCTCGCGCGTTTCCTTCTGATCTCCGCGGTATTTTGCATCGGTAAGAAATCATCGTGTCGTTCACACAATTGGTGATAAATTTCTCCGATCGGTAGTGTAATCTCGGTGTTGTATTAATCATCATCGCTTCTCAGGTCTCTGCTCTGAAGATGAGGAGAGGTTGGTCCGTGATCTGTTTAGGGGATACAACAAACTCATTAGACCTGTTCAGAATATGACGGAGAAAGTGCACGTAAACTTTGGCCTGGCTTTCGTGCAGCTGATCAACGTGGTGAGGTTTTTCGATCATTATTCTGGTTTTCCTCCGAAATGCTTTGTCACTGAACGTAATCATTTCACGCCTAGATTTTTAAAATGTTTTCCTAAATTATTATTTATTACCGGATAGAGGTATTAATTGTTTGAATTATTTGCATATTTTGCGATAGTTTACTCTTGTAGCAATACAGAGAGACTCGTACAATTTTTTACGCGCATTTGGAATAGATGTAAATGAGAAAAATTTTGTATTCTTTTGCATGCTATTCTGTTCGATGTATTTACTTTCGTCACAATTGATCTACGATTTAATCGAATATAAATGAGAAAAATCTGGTAAGAATGAGAAAATCATTGTAATATTTTCATTTCCTAAAAAATTCCGAAACGACCTATTTAATATAATAATGACAATTCTTAACTCAAATCTACTTGTTAGTTCGTCTTATCATGTTTAACGTTCGAGAACTAGTGTTTCAAGTTAGGTCATCAACATTCTCTACCATATTTGTTATTCAGAATTATTCATATTAACAATTTGAGTTATTCTCGACTATAGTTCGTTTAATCCAAGTTAGAATTCAATAACGAGAATGAAAACATACATTCTCCTACATGCTTATTGCAAAGGTAATTAAATAATTATTATTTCCAAACATAAACTTATATAAATAAAACCAGGCGAAAATGTTATTGTAAATTAATTAACAAGATCTACGCATATAAGCAAATTAATATTAATGTTACATAGTAATAACAATGGTTTTCTAGAATGAGAAAAATCAGATCATGAAATCGAACGTGTGGTTAAGATTTATCTGGACGGATTACCAGTTGCAATGGGACGAAGCGGATTATGGCGGAATTGGGGTTCTCAGATTGCCACCCGACAAAGTTTGGAAACCAGATATTGTATTATTTAATAAGTACGTATAAAATTATTTAAAATCTATGATTCTTACATTTATAGTATTTGTGGTAGTTTTCGAAAATTTTTTAATAGACATAGATTTCAATAATTGAAAATTTCCAGAAGTGGTAATGATAATTTCACTAGAATGACATACCTTAGTACGATGTTATGTTACAACTACATTTATCTAAATATCTAATAAGATTATACAGGGTACACTGATAACAGAAATTTTTGTAGTTTATGTTTATTATTAATTATTATTATTAATATTATTAATTTTGATCATTTTCAGATTTAACATTACTATTACATTATTGTATTCTTACGTTTACACCGAAATTTATAAAGATTATAAATTCCTGTATAACTAAACTATACAAATTATGAATTATAACGTTCTCGCAGTAAAAAAAAACACATTAATTATACTAGTTTCTAATATTCCGTACCTCCGACCTCTTTTTGATCATAAAATTACTATGTCAACATATTTCCGTGCACTCAGAGACTCTCAACTATAAAGGTCACCTGTAAATTTAATTGACTCACCTCTGCACCGAATCTTCTACGTAAAACATGACCCAAATAATTTAACACCTTGACCCATTTTCAGCGCCGACGGTAACTACGAAGTACGTTACAAAAGCAACGTCCTGATTTATCCAAACGGCGACGTCCTTTGGGTGCCTCCAGCGATCTATCAGAGTTCCTGTACCATCGACGTCACGTACTTTCCCTTCGATCAACAGACCTGCATCATGAAATTTGGATCTTGGACCTTCAACGGTGACCAAGTGTCTCTGGCTCTGTACAACAACAAGAACTTCGTGGACCTGTCCGATTATTGGAAAAGCGGTACATGGGACATAATCAACGTCCCTGCGTATTTAAATACCTACCAGGGTGACTTTCCAACGGAAACAGACATCACCTTTTATATCATAATCAGACGCAAAACTCTATTCTACACGGTGAACTTGATCCTACCAACAGTTCTGATCTCCTTCCTTTGCGTATTGGTCTTCTATCTGCCCGCCGAAGCTGGCGAAAAAGTGACACTGGGCATTAGCATTCTCCTCTCGTTGGTCGTGTTTCTGTTGCTGGTCAGCAAGATCCTGCCACCGACGTCCCTCGTGCTCCCATTGATCGCCAAGTACCTTCTGTTCACCTTCATTATGAATACCGTCAGTATTCTGGTAACCGTTATCATCATCAACTGGAACTTCCGTGGACCCAGGACGCACAGGATGCCACAGTTGATCAGAAAAATCTTCCTCAAGTACCTGCCAACCATACTGCTGATGAGGAGACCCAAGAAGACCAGACTCCGATGGATGATGGAGATCCCGAACGTGACCTTACCGACGTCAACTTACTCTGGCAGCCCGACAGAGCTTCCGAAACATCTACCAGCCTCTTTGGCCAAGTCGAAGATGGAGGTGATGGAACTGTCCGATTTACATCATCCTAATTGTAAAATCAACAGGAAGGTTCATCATACCACCAGCGGTTCGAGCGCTGCTGGCGGAGAGGGACTGACTGATAGAAGAGGATCTGAAAGCTCGGATTCGGTGCTACTCAGTCCGGAAGCTAGCAAAGCTACCGAGGCTGTCGAGTTTATTGCTGAACACTTGAGGAACGAAGATTTGTACATACAGGTGAGATACAATCAATCGGAAGCTCAGTATTCTCCTCCTTTAGCCATGATTTGTCGACCTTATTATAGTCACATCGCCATATCCATCATGTCCATAAAATTTATATATTTTATTACAATGTTTTTATCCTTTTCGTTTGTCTATTTCTTGAGACGTTTCTTTAGTTTCAAGAGGAATATTAAACAAGTTTGCTTTGTTTTTGCAGACAAGGGAAGATTGGAAGTACGTAGCGATGGTGATCGATCGGTTACAGCTTTACATTTTTTTCATCGTAACAACAGCGGGTACCATCGGGATCCTAATGGACGCGCCGCATATATTCGAGTACGTGGACCAGGACCGTATTATAGAGATCTATCGTGGAAAGTAATATCCACGAAATTTAGCAAATTACAAATGGCGTGCCATCCTCGCAATAATTTTCTTCCGATTTAAGTAACGTTATCATAATTTATCGAATATCATTCTTATATTTAGACACAAGTTAATCCTGACTTGAATCAAATACTTTTGCGATTTAATATTCAACCGTGTGGTCGAATAATCGAAATCTTATTTTAAATTATCGAAAAATGTAAGAAACCTGAGATACCGAATCGATAATTTACGTTATTTTTATTCTTAAAATTCGATTCACTATACTATTCTTCCGTCTAACACACGCATAACACTCCTTTCATGAGCCGATCACGTCATGAAAGTCGGAACACAAACGCTCAGCATTTCTCATCGATCATTTGTAACAATCGATCGTTTCTTCGTTTTATACTCGTGAACGACTATCAGCGTCAAAGGATCGCAATTTTATGAATTCGTCAGGAAACAAAGCTCAATGGCACTCGTTGCATAGGAACGTACCACTTAAATTAATTAAACTAAGCGTTAGAGTATCGCCAACGTACCGGATCCATTTGAATTCCGTTTCTCTTCCGTTAAGATCCAAGTTTTCCCAAAATTAAACACCTTTCACAGCGTCGTTTACAGCTGCCTCCGCGATTGATTGTCTTCCTTCGAAACCTTTGTCCCAAGCACACGCTGAAATGGGTGCGGCTTGAAACGCAAATGAAAGAAAGAAAAAAAAAAAAACGAAATAAATAAACCACTTAGGTATCCATCGTGGAATTAATGTCCATTGGTCGCGCGTCATAGATGAGTAACTTGGTTGATATCAGGAAACGGATACACATAGAGCGTAGATATCAAATAATTTTGATATTAATCGTGCGAAATACCGTTGCCATTATTATAATCTAGCGGGGCCCGTGGTTGAATAAACACGTCCCGATACAATGCCCGGGGGGCCGTGACGAATCCATTCACCGACTGGCAGATGTATTTCAATTTTTCGGCGGCTTTGCGATTTTATCAGGATCGATTTCGGTAAAAATGACTGGCTAGACAGTTTTATTTTAAGGACAATAATCGAATGTTGTATTGTCTGGTCGATCGAGATTGACCCCCCAACTTTCATGTGCAAGAAATCACGCGGTGGACCGTATTAATGACCACCGTGGCTAACAGTTTGAATGAATGTTCTCTTAATTCGAGCGGCGTTTCTTCTGCTGACATTCTTTTGCTTTCAGCTTACTTATGTAACATCTACTGCTTTACAACTTGATTGACCAGACAATACGATGTAAATTACGATATAGGTATTATTTTCGGAGGCCATTTTTCATGGTCTCTCTTTATTTTCAGAATTATTGAAATACCGAAATTATGGAAAAAAAATGTGAAATACTTAGTTGAGCAATCATTCCCACATGTGATGGATAGCAAAACATTACACTGGTCTCTTAGAGATTCGTTGAAGTAATTTATTTTATTAAGTAAATGTAGAAATTTCGTTGGTGTAACTTCTTGAACGATGCAGTGTTTTAAATTTTCAGATAAATGTTACGAAAAATTGTCTTTGCAACGTATTACGTACAAAATAATTTACTTTACCTCCAAAACTATTTCGTTTTTTTTAAATACTGACTTATCAAAGAAATGAAAATGTAGAACAGTCCATTCATTCCATGACAAATTACAAACGATATTTACTTTTAATGTTCAAAAACTATTTTAATTTCATAACTGACATTTTTATCCTTCAATTTATTTCTTAACTTTATTGGTGTGTAATAATATCCTTCATAAATTCTTCAATTGTCTCCTCACGGAATGTTCGAACCTGCTCAATTTTTTCGACCCACGTTTCGACTGTGCCGCTTCTTTATGTTTCCCAAACGAAGAACAATTGAACAAAATTTCGTACAACATTTGCTAATACGAAAAGCGCACATTAGAAGTACAATGTCACGGCCCCGCGATTAAGAAATCGTTATAAATGAAATGATAACAAGATAAATAAATTGTATCGTACATCAATATACGAAGATATCATAGTCACACTACATGTATATTGTGCAGAAGATTGTTAAACGGTCATGTTTTCTCTACTAGAACGTTTGCTCCACTTGCAAAGAATGTTTATGGTTGCTCGTTAAAGATCGTTGAGTTTCACGTACATATTGCCTACAGTTGTGCCTCGCGAATCAGCCCGTTGTTACGAGTGATGTTATTGTATATATTATAAAAGAAGCTTTTCGTTTCTTCTTACGGGAAATCTCCATCATGGTCCAAAGAAAGCGTGGCAATTTTAAACGGTAAACCTTTTTCATTTAACGTCGACGGCTCGAAGGAATCATTCCAAAGTAATTGCATGTCGTTTTGATAATTTTATACTCGAGAATCAATTGCTAATCGAATGGAAGTTCAAATAACCGTTATTTAGACCTTACCGAATGTCTAATCGTAAATGTCAACGCGACGATAAATTCTGTCGATAGAGCGACAACGAAGAACATCGATTTGGCGTGTATGTTAAAAATATTGAAAAAAAAAAAAGAAAGCCATGTTTTTCACGAAACTCATCGAACGTTTGGGATTCGTTCTCCTCGTCGCTTCTACGACAACACGACGTGTGTGTGTGTATGTATATGAAAACACTGCCCACGATTAGAATGACGAATTAATTCCTTGATAGAGCGACACGTGTCTTCCTTGAACAAGATACAATAACTAGAATTTAGTCCCCCGAGAGTGGAGTAACTAGATGATGCTTATTCATTTCTATACCATTTACTTCTATATATTTTATAGCGTTGTTCACCCGAGAATGAGAAGGATGATTGTGTATGAGAATCAATACGAGGCGACTTTACGAACACGTTGGAGCTCAAGTGCAATTGAAGGTGTCAGTTCTTTATGCGATACGAATGAAACATGATTATAACGATACTGAGAACTATGTCCTTTAACGTTGTGAACTCGTTAATATTTAAGTGACACCATTCGCTGCTGTGGAACTGGTTTCCTAAGAGTGAATATTTTGTCCTTAACAGAATTTTTAAAATGGAAAAAGTGAAATTCATATATTTTAGATACAATGAGTTTTCGTAATCGTACGGTGAAAAATTAAGAGCAATAGCAAGGTTTGTTTTCCTGCAAGAAAATCGTGAACATAACGTCGGTGTCGCGGTTCTGGTGATTTCAATGCTTGGTAATAAGATGTTCCCTTACACAAACCGCTAACACATTGTCCAAGTGACATAACCTACATTTATTATTGTTTAATGAAGTGAAGTATGCGTTGAAGTAATTAAATAATATCAGTTATTAATCATTATTAATGGAGATTTGAATGTATCTAATACGACATTTGTGAAATGTTCTCGGTAAAGTTTTGATCATTTTCATTCGAGTTGTAGTAAACGCAAACGTTTACAGTAAGTTTTGAAATTCAAAAGTAACGCGTCTTCGTTACTGACATCTTCAATTAACCCTAGGATACTAATACAAGTAATTTTTACGTTTATTACGTTTTTTAAACGTCTTCTCGACATTGATGTCAAATTTAACGACATCTGATTAGTTTAAAAAAAAAGTGTAATAATTATTATAAACGCATACATTTATAATTGTTATAAATAATAGTAATAAATGCCACCATAAAAAAGCATTAGATTTTCGGCATTAATATTACTTTATATTCATAGGAATTAAAAATCGATCGTTTCAATATGTAGTGCATGTGCTTGTTAAATTGAATTTTTTACTGGATAAAATTTATTTCCATTGTTAAAATATTTATTTTCAATCAATTAAATGCCGATACATCTGTCTGACTGGGGAAGTTTCAATTTTCGTATAATAAATGGAATCCTAATATTCTTTTATTCAAAATAAGTGTATTTAATTACGCACATACAATTGGCAATAATTTATGTAAGAATTCTCATATTGATTCTCATATACAGCTTCTAAACCCTCGTTCTATGTTAGATGTAAACGTAATTGTTTGAGGTTAATGTTGACATAAAATAAATCGAATGTTCTACTAGCGTTGCAACAATCAATGGAATGTTTTGAAATTCGTTGGACAAACGTGCGTCGTCGATAAAGCGTGAAAAGCACTGGTCGGTAAATAATTTTGCTTATTTCTTCCAATTAAAGTAAACAAATCTTATATATTCTGCACAATTGAAACCAAATGTTAACGTTAAGTATTTACTAATTTAAAAAAGATAAGGAACAACGTTTGATGCGTTTAAACAACTGAATTACAATTTTTTTACGTTGGAAAACAGAATTTATTATATTTTATTAAAGAGTATTACGATACTCGTAAATACAAATTGTTAGAATATTAAGAACTGTTTGAAATAGATTTATACATATATACATACATACATATAATAAATTGTGCTGCATTATCTCTTCAAGGTGCCAGAAGATTAATTAGTTTATCGTACGTTTATTGAGTTTTGCGAAATCTGTTCCACTAGGTAAATATGTAATTTAATTTATTTTCTTGAATTCTTTACAAAAGGATTGAAATTGGAGGTTAATTCTCGAAAATGAGATCTGAAAATTTTTAGGTACTCTCAGCAAATGTTTAAATAGTACAATACAACCGTACCCTTTATAATCGTAGTTGAATCTCTTGTCTACTAGAGAAAAGGATGATCGTGTCAGCGAATGTACATTAATTTATCTTTACTTTGTATGTAAGGAATAAGGGTCAAAAAAGTTTGTTGGGACGGAAATTTGTACTTTAGTATGCATGTGAAGCGCCGCGAATATGTTCATGCAAAACATTGATTTCTCATTGGTAGATATAATATTAAGATAGATCGTTAGGTAGTTCTTTTTACAAGGAAATAAAGAATATTAAACGAATCGAGGTTTTCCGTTATTTCGCGTTGTAAATCTTCCTCACAATAGTGTTCCTGTTATTTCTTATTGTACTTGGTTAAAAATCTTTTCAACAAAAGTATTTGAATAGAAGATTATCAATATCCTTTATTTCATAAAAATGCTTCT